AAACCATCCCCTATTGCTAGACAAATCTTTAGAAAGTCTTCAGCACAATATTTCCCTTTTGTGACCTTGATTTCAGACATGTTTGGCGTGTCGACGCGGGCAAGTTGTTTCCTTCGGCATCCACTTTTAAAGACAGTCACCGAGATCTTGAGTTTATTATTATCTTTTATACCCCCCGTGAATAAGACAAATATAGGGGGACGAATGTATGAAATGCATGACGAATACATGAAATATATGAATGCGTGGGTGTAAGGTTGAGTGATGGGATTTTGTGATAAGTACCCCTAGAAGGTAGGTTCCTTAATTTTAGCCTACGGTTGGTTTACCCTCCCAAAAGGTGGCTTTCTTAAGGGTGTCATGAATAACACCAGAGGGAAAGGGCACAAGGGCCTCTCTCAGGTGGAGCCTCTTTACGGACTGAGACTTTCGTCTCAAAGTCGTGAAAGGTCTCGTCATGAGATCTTAGGTTAAGGCTGTTACAAAGAGTCATGGGTGACCTTCCAAAGTCTTACTCATCAAGAGGATATCTCTCGATAAGTATTCCTTTTTCAAAAGTTCACCGACTCTAGGAGAAGTCGTCACATAAACTCGCAGGGATGATGTACCCCCTAAGCTAATAGACGAACCTTCTTTCTATGGGTTATATTGAAAATATTTTTGAGATAGAAAATCCCGCCAAGCAGTAAATATATGATGATAAGAGAAATTGACAATAAATAAATAAATGCGATAAAGTAGATAAATGCGATAAATAAATAAAGCAAATAAAAATAAAAACCCAAAAATACCTAAACCTAGGGTTAAGGAGAGTCCCCAGCAGAGTCGCGACTGGTTTTTTTAATCAAGAGTCGTCACTATTAGTTTTTATCCTAGAGAAGGGAATCTAACAGTAAACCCTAATTCGCGGACAGAGATTCTAGATTTCAGACTCAATTAAACGAAAGAAAGGTGTTAGGCACCTTTCATCCACCTTGTTCACAAGGATATTAGACTCTAGGTTTAGGTTTGGGGTAAACTGAAATTTAAGTTTTAATTAGAAAGAAAAGTGTCCAAATTTTTTAATAGGGGAAAGGGTTTAATTTTTTTATAGGAGAACTCGTTACGATTTTTGATCGTATGCCAACATATCCTCTTATGAGGAATCAGAGTCTCAATTCATAGTTCATATGAGTTGGTATTTTTTATAGATTACACAAACATTTTGATTCCCCTCGTACTTAGCCCCGGGTGTGTGAATAGCGGAGATTTTGAATCAAATGCGCAGTTAATCAAAATATGCTTCGTAACCCTTTTTGAAAATTAATTGTTAAATTAATTTATTTATGAAAAATAATTTGGCGTTGGTTAAATGTTTTTTATATACTAATTATAAAAATTCTTATTTAAATGCATGGTAAAAAATATTTTAATGCAATAGGCAAAATATATTTGAATGAATTAAAAAAAAAGATATTTGATTCGATAATAATTAATAGTAATAATTAATATAATACGAAAATTATAAAAATAGAAAATATATAATATAAAAATTATAAAATAAAAATAAAAATAAAATAAAACATAAAGGGGGTGTTAATTAGGTTGAGGTGGTAAAATAGGAGGTGCTAACAACAAGGGCCTGAATTTAGATATTGAATTCAAGCCCAAAAGACAGAAGGTGTGCTTTTTTGTTCATACAGTAAAAAAAGGTGTATAAGGAATAGGGCCCAAGTTCAGATATTGAACTGGGCTCAATAGACTGAAGGTTTTAATATCTTTGTAAAATATTAATTTAATTATGAAATTGTTTGAATTTATGTATAAGATCAATGATTTGAATTGTTAAATTGATTGAAAAATCCCAATAATTATGTATAAAGAATATTTTTGTTATTCTCGACTTTTCACTTAACCTAATAATAAAGCTAACATATTTTTGTATTTTGTATTAAAAAGTGACAAATAAAAACAAGAGAAACAAAACCATTAGAAAATTGTAATGCAATAATTAACCTAATAATAATAATTAAAAGAAAGAACATGTATGAAAGTTGTTGTTTTATTTGCAAAGTGAGCATGTTTCTACGTGACCCAAATTATATATACATGTTACAAATTATAATAGATATTGAAATTTTTGTTTTATTAATTAAATTGAAAAAGAATAAACATCAAGACAACAAACATGAAGATTTTACACAATCAATGAATCCCAACAATAAAACACTCAATAGAAATAAAATATAAATAATTCAAGAAATTTTACGATGGAGATTTTTAAGAGAGACTAATCTACGGGAGCGAGGATTCCCCCGGTGAGCAAATGATAGAAATTATTTCTTTCCTTCGTCGTTCTCCTCTTTTTTCCTTTGAGGCGAGATCTTCCTTAGATAGATGTTGGAGACAACAACAAGGTTTTAAAAAATTGTTGATAGAAAATTTTTAAGTGTTATGTTCAAAATCCTAAAATAAGTGACTGTTAATGGAGGCTTCAGGGTTTCTTTGTTTTTGTTCTTCGATGTGAAGACCAATAACTTTAAGAGAACTCTAGTGAATTGTGGATGATTATGAAATTGTGGATGAAAATAGTGTGAAAGAGTGGTCTATTTATATATTTGAAATTAGGTTAAAGACACCCCAAAAAGGAAATAGTCCACACCAAAAAAAGTCCAAAAGTTTATAATTCTATCTTGGTGAACAAGTCTAAGAACCTGATCTTATTTGTGACCAGATACAAGATAGATTTGAAAAATATTTAAACTAAATAAGATTTTATTTATAACTAGACTTTTTGACTATTTTTTTGCATAAAATAATGATTTTAATAAAAAAAATATTTTAAAATATATAAAATATAGGAAAACGAAAATATTATTTAAATAAATAAAAAACACTTTTTTTAATGATATTTTTGGAAAGATTTACACAAATTGAGACTTGATTGAAATTTGGAAGACAAGATTATGAATCTAGACACTTTTGTAATTTTCTCAATATTGTGATTGATTTTGTGATTAATAAAAATTGGTTTTGAAAGATTTCAATTATTTTTAACATCTTGACTATTAAGTGTATAAAATCAAAGATTTAAAAAATAATAAAAAATAATTTTAAAATACTCTTAAAATAGAAAATGAAAATAATAATAAAATAATTGAAAAATGACTTTTTTTATCTTTTTTATTAAAAAACATACAAAAGAATATAAATACCAAAAAATAGTATAACGAGACTTGAACTCAAGACCTTCTACTTGTAAGCCTTACTTTCTTACCAACTGTGCTACGCTATATATTTGGAATAAAAAATCAATTGAAAACATATAAAGACGATCAATTATTTTTTATTTAAAAATATAAATAATTTAAAATAAATTATTATATTTTTAAATTAACTAGAAAATGAATATTTTAAAAACCCCAAAATATTAATGTAAATCAAAAGAATTTTATGAAAATCAAAGTTTGAAAATAAACTTGATGATAGCACTGAGGGCGGACAAATTTGGGGTATAACATTTTGGATGACATCTATAACCCCATCTCCGACAATATTCCGTCACTCTCCAAATTCTTTTATGTAATGCTTCAACTTAGTACATGAAAAGTACATGCAAAGACATAGCTTTTCTATTAAACTATATATGATTTCAACATCATTTAAGATTCTGCTAAGGTAATAAATAACTCTTTTGATGTTATTTTCATCTTCTTGGGCCAACATGCTGCCTATAGTCGAATCAAATGCTGATATATATAACTTTATGGTCTTATTACTAATAGGGGTAACAAAATATGAGGCTTCGTCAAATATGCTTTGATCTCATCGAACACCTTTTGGTGTTCAATCTCCCATCTGAAACTTTCCTCCTTCTTGAGTCGAAGAAATGGCGAGAACACTTGTGTCTTACCTCTTTACTTAGATATAAATTGTGGAACCTTATTTTGCAGATAATAGACCTTTAATAAAGATCAGCATCTGAAGTTTTAATGACGACAACACATGAAGATCTATGTGCTTACATAATAGGACTTAAGATAAAAGTATCTATACAATCATATACTATCTAGCAAGAAGTCTTGAAGCCTCTTTGAAGAAAGATGTGAAAGCTCTCCAGGTCTTGTCGGTTGGCCTGTCTGAGTGAATTGAGTACGATAAAAATAAAGTAGTATCTTAAAAGTACTAAGGCAACCCACACTCACTAAAAACATTTTTCCAAAAAGAAAAACATTTAAAAATGTCTTGAAAGTTGTGTCAAATTACTTAGGATCTCTAGAAATTACTAGAAGGAAAATTTTGTCTAATTTAATCGATTAATCTAATCGATTCGAAAAAATCAAGCGTTTATTTAAAGTGTTTTAAACGGGAGACAAGCATCAGACCACAAACTAAGTACGAATAGCGATCCAAGTACTCGAGAAATAGAGAAGATAAATATGTCATACCCATTCTTTTTTCGACCGATTTTTGTTACGGAAAAGATTTTGAAACATTTTTTATTAAGCATGAAAAATGATATGATATTAATCAAGTGTTTGAATTTACGTCGAGATTGATTTGATTATGAATTAGTTTGAAAAAATTACTTGATGTTGATAAAATATTTAAATTTATCTTAAAAGATTAATTTTAATAGTCAATTTATTTTATTAACAATTATCAATGAAACATCAACTAAAGGAAATACAATAAAATAGACTTCCAAACTAAAACAAGAAAGAAATAAAAGAAATAATAAACCGGAGGTGGACTTACTATCAATACAATAGTGGGCAAGTAATAATACAAACTAAATGGATTTAAGGCCCTAAATTAATAATAATAATAATAATAATAATAATAATAATAATAATAATAATAAAAGCATACGGAGAGGGTGTGATATAGCAATATCATCTAAACCCAAGAAGTAAATGCAATTAGTGTTCAAACAAAAAATAATAGAGCATGTAAGACCATGAAATGAGTGCACCTAAATAATAATTAAAGAAAAAGGAAAAAAAAAAAAAGAGTAGTATTTAGAAAGTAGAAAGAGAGACAGTGAGGTAGCGGTGAGAAGAAGATGAGTAACATATAAAGCAGCACGGCAGTAACTTAAAAATCGGAGAATAAGCGCTTTTTTCTTCTTCAAATTTCATGGAAGCGCTTATTCTTAAAAGCGATTTTTTGTTCATCTCCCTTACGAGACAACAACTACACTCGCTCATCTTTCATCTTGTGATAACAACAAAAAATACCCGCTCATCTCTCTAACTGTTTCGGTAAGCGTGATTCTAGTTACGTTTCTGTTTTGGTTCAGAGTAGTGTTTCAATCTCGGTTCAGAATTTGGTTTGCGAAACATTTAATTTTCCCTTCCTATTATTTATAATGTTATATTCTAAAGAGAATAATACACTTTATACATAAAACTGTAAAATCTAACCAATAATGCCTTCAAATGAGTGAATCATTTATTTATTTAGCTACTAAGATTGTTTTGTTTGCTCATGTGGAAACTAATCTGATATAATAAATTCATTGTAGAATTTATGTATTGCAGCTGCCCATTGTCCCATTAGAGAGATATTAGAGAAAGAAAAAGGGTTAGTCTAATATTATTTAGATATTATGCAAATTTATATTACATCTCAAAATTATACATTTTTTAAAATTATACCTCTTTTTTAGGAGGGAGGTTTAGCTGAGTCTAATAGAAATGTAGATATCCGACCTTTAAAGATGGAGGATCTGGTACACGCCCTAAAGGAGGTATATCAATTAATCTTTTTCTAGTATGAGTTTAATTTTTAATTATTTAATTGGTTGACTAAAAAATTTAGTTAATTAAATTTTTTATTTTTTTATAGGAAGGTCCGCGCTAGTGTCAGGTTTGACTCATCTATGATAGATGAACGGTTAGAATGAAATGAACAGTTTGGAGAGGGTGGAGATGCGTCTAAAAAAGACAGAAACCTAAGTTATTTCTTATAAATTTCTTAGGCTGTTTGATACTATGAAAATGAACTGTTTAGAAACAAGTCTGTTATTTCAAATTACTCCTATAAATAGCTTTCCCTCGACATTTTACTGCTACAACCAATCTCGATATTTAGTAAGAACATAAAGCTCTCTTTTTTTTCTCCTTCAAGCTGGTTAAGTTTTTCCTTTCTATTATTTATAATGTTATATTCTAAAGAGAACAATACACTTTATACATAAAACTGTAAAATCTAACCAATAATGCCTTCAAATGGGTGAATCATTTATAGTTTATCGCATAGAAAAATCAAAACTTAACCAACTTGAAGGAGAAAAAAAAGAGAGTTTTAGGTTCTTACTAAATATAGAGATTGGTTGTAGCAATAAAATGTCGATGGAAAGCTATTTATAGGAGTAATTTGAAATAACAGACTTGTTTCTAAACAGTTATCTTCATAGTATCAAACAGCCTAAGAAATAACTTAGGTTTCTGTCTTTTTTAGACGCATCTCCATCCTCTCCGAACTGTTCATTCCATTCTAACATTCATCTATCATAGATGAGTCAAGCGTGACACTAGCGCGGACCTTCATATAAAAAAATAAAAAATTTAATTAACTAAATTTTTTAGTCAACCAATTAAATAATTGAAAATTAAACTCATCAACTTCAATTCACTTCAATTCATACTAGAAAAAGATTAATTGATATACCTCCTTTAGGGCGTGTACCAGATCCTCCATCTTTAAAGGCCGGATATCTACATTCCTATTAGACTCAGCTAAACCTCCCTCCTAAAAAAGAGGTATAATTTTAAAAAATGTATAATTTTGAGATGTAATATAAATTTGCATAATATCTAAATAATATTAGACTAACCGTTTTTTCTCTCTCTAATGGGACAATGGAGAGCTGCAATACATAAATTCTACAATGAATTTATTATATAAGATTAGTTTCCACATAAGCAAACAAAACAATCTTAGTAGCTAAATAAATAAATACCTTGAGATCACTTCCAGAATAACCACTCGTCTTATCGGCCATTTCCTTTAGATCAATGTCTGGTGACAAATTCTCGGCGGCCAGTATGATCTTAAGAATCTTCTCTCGATTTGGAGCATCGGGTAAATTAATCAACAATCTGCTTATAATGTAGAAGAAAGTCCATGAATTAGATTACAAATTTATCAAAAATATGAAGAAAAAATATATTTGATGTTGTCAGATTGAATTTTTTATTATACGTCAAAGGTAAACTAGAGTCAAAGTTAACATATTAGCAATAATATATAGTTTAGAAATCATTAATCACATTAAGATAAACATTACATAAAATTTTATAAAATAAAACACCACCTTCTTGGGAGTCTCCTAATAACAGCATCGTCAAGATCAAACGGTCTGTTAGTAGCAGCAAGAACAAGTACGCGGTTTTTTTCCTTTGTGCGGAGACCGTCCCAATGAACAAAAAACTCTGACTTCATTTTGTTGTAATGAGCTTCACTGGAACTATCGACTCCACGTTTTCCTAACAAACTGTCCACCTATCATAAATAACACAACAATTAAAGTAAGAATTAATAGTTTTTTACCCTATTTATAATAGTTTTTTCCAAACAGAGGAAATACCACAGAAAATAAAAATTGTGCAGGAACCAAAGGAAGACTGGACTGAGGTAAAATCAACAAATAGGCTCAAAGGAAAAGAGCCTATCATAGAAAAGTTTACAACAGGAATAGATACAGATCTGTTTGGGTGTAGCAATGGTTTTGAGGTCCTTGGGTCTGGAAATAGCTCATCTACCTCTAATCCCACTATACCAGGATGTTAAGTTGGAATGTTAGAGGAATTAATAAGAGGGCAAGGCATATTGAAATAGGGGCTCATATCAATAAACTCAATGTGACCTGTGCTGCCCTCATTGAAACCAGGGTGAAGAAGAATAATGCAGAGGCTATTAGGAAAAAGATGGGAACAAATTGGAATTGGCTTGACAACTATGACAAGCATCCAAATGGTAGAATATGGTTTATGTGGGATCACAGAAAAATGCAAGTTAAGCAAATAGAAAACTCTGACCAATATTTACATTGTGATATCTACAACATGAATGGGGACATATCACATTACTTGACTGTGTTATATGCTCAGAATCAGCTTGTGCGTAGGAAGACTCTCTGGAATGATATTCTTCGAATATCTGCCAATGTGAAAGGGCCCTGGATGGTAGTGGGAGACTTCAATAATGTTCTGAAAAATAAGGACAGAACTAGGGCAACCCTATTCAAGAGGTTGAAGTCAAGGATCTGCGTGACATGATGGAAGTTACTGGACTGTTTGAACATGAAACAAAAGGTAATTACTATACCTGGTCTAACAAACATCTCAATGGTGGTGATTTATACTAGGATTGATAGAGCAATATGTAACAAAGAGTGATTTCTAGAGTTCCCTAATAGTGAAGCTCATATCCTCCATGCCCATATCTCTGACCATAACCCTCTCAAGATTAGCATGATAGGAGATAGAAATGAGATTTATAGGAAACCTCATAGATTCAAGTTTCGGAATTGTGTGGTGAATAATCCTGGATTTATGGAAATTGTGAAGAACAATTGGCAAGCTGATCTTAGTGGCAGACCTATGTTTAAAGTTTGGAGTAAACTAAAGAGATTGAAACCTGCTCTAAGGGACATGACCAAACATGCAAACAATAGGGTGCTCAATATTCAGAACTGTATAACTCAGCTGGAAAGAGCCCAGAATCTCCTTGGGACTAATCTGACGAGTACATAATATATTAATGAGGTTAATACTGGACTGAGGAGTTGATGCAGGCTATAGAAACTGAAGAGAAAATGTTGGTTCAAGGATCTAAACTGGACTGGTTGCTAAAAGGTGATGATAATACTGCATACTTCCATGCCATAATCAGGGGGGGAAATAAGCAGACTAGCATTCTTGTTTTAGAGGACCCTAATGGAAAGCAACTTACTAGCCACAAAGATATTGAAGGGGAAGTTCTGAGATTCTATAAAGATCTGGTAGGGACTAATACACAGAGGAGGAAACACATTGATATTGTGGCTGTCAGAGCAGGTAATCAACTGAAAGATGATGATAGGAACAGCCTCACCAAACCTGTGACTGACCAAGAAATTTTGACTGCTTTGAACAGTATTGGAGACAATAAAGCTCCTGGTACTGATGGATACACAGCTAAAGTCTTCAAGTCAACCTGGAAAGTGATAGGAGTGGATGTTACAGATGCTATACACGACTTCTTTACTCAGAACAGAATGTACCCTACTGCAAACTGTGAGTTAGTAACTCTTATCCCAAAGAAAAATGATGCAAAAACCATGAAGATATGAGACCTATTGCCTGCTGTAGCACCTTATACAAAATAATCTTCAAAATCCTTACTACAAGATTGAGTAAGGTGATCAACCAGGTTATTGATGAGAGCCAGTCAGCTTTTGTATCAGGGGGAGTTATACATGACAACATAGTGATAGCTCGTGAGTTGCTTAGAAGGTATAACAGGATAGTGCATTCATTGTTGTGAGTATGTGATAGTGCATTCATTGAGTCATATACATTTGCATACTCTGTGATGGCCTGGATTGGCAAACTATGAAGAAGGCTTATGCCTTGTTGATGCCTCTATTAATTGGCAGATTATTAAGTTGGAAGTTCTACTCCAATGGTACCACATGCATGTGCATTGTAATTGAGTCACATTTGATGTTGCATATTGAGTTGTGGTGATGATATATTTGTTGTTGCTTTATGTTGTTGACTTGTTGTGACAGGTATTATCTAAAAGTTGTGAATTAGTCGTTATGTCGTGTCGATGTTTTGTTGTGATTAAAATTGTTTGTAAGTTGTGAAGTGGTGATTTTATGTGATCTGATCTAACATATTGTTTATCATACGCTCAATTATATAGTTCGATATCTCACCCCTTATGTTTGAATGTTGCCCTCTGTTGGTAACGTGCAGGTAATCAAGAAGGATAGTTGTTACCTCGTTAGTTCGAGTCGGTGTCTTCGCTCTGATACGTAGCACTCGGGGGGTTGTTGATATTTATTTCAGTTGCTGAATTTTTAAGTTGGTTACGTGAAATAATTGTTGTTTTGATGTTGTTTTAGTTGAATAAAAGATGTTAAGTGAATTGAAGTTGAGTATGTAAATTTCGCTGCTTATCAATAAAAAGTTGTTTGATTTTAAAAAATAAATCAGGCTGTTATCGGTTCATCCGAATTAAGTGTTATGTATCTGTTTTGTATGCGATTAAATGAAGTTTGATTTTAAGTTATAAATGTAGCATCCTATTTATGTTGAACTCTGATTTTATTATTATCCGCCGGGTAGAATTGGGGTGTTACACTAGTCAACTCTTGATGAAGGAATTCAATCAATTGTCTGAAGCAATTGGCTTGAAAGCTAATCCTACCAAGTGTAAGGTTTATTATGGGGGAGTTATTGATTAAACTCAAAAGAAGATTAAAGAGGCCAATAAATTTGCCACAGGTCAGCTGCCATTCAAGTATCTAGGAGTCCCTCTTGCTAGCAGAAAGTTAACTGTTCTTCAATGTGAACCTCTTATTGATCGTATTGTTGGTAGAATTAAACATTGGACTGCAAAACTGTTGAGCTATGCAGGAAGGTTCCAACTGATAAAAAGTCTACTTTTCTCCATCACTGCCTATTGGATGCATGTATTCCCTATGCCAAAGAAACTTATCAGGAAAACTGAATCTATATGCAGGAACTTCCTGTGGAACGGGACTGATGAGTCTAGAAGGAAAGCCCCTGTGGCCTGGAAAACTGTTTGCTGTCCAAAGAAATCAGGTGGCTTAAATATCACTTCTCTAACTGACTGGGAAATAGCTTGCATGAGCAAAATGCTATGGAATTTGCAGGCAAAAACTGATAAACTATGGGTCAAATGGCTTCATGAATACTACAAAAAAGGTGAGGACCTAATGAGATGTTAGATCCCAAACAGTTGCTCTTGGATTGTTAAGGGGATTCTGAAAACCAGAACCATTGTCGAACACTGAGTACTGGACAGAAGCTATGCAGAAGGATAAATATCATACAGCCTCCATGTATAAGGAAATCCGAGGCGAGCCTGTCAACATAGAGTGGCACAAAATGCTTAATCCCAATTATGCTAGACCTAGAGCTCGGTTTACTTTGTGGATGGCACTACATGGGAAATTACCTACAAAGGACAGGCTGCACAAGTTTGGTATTATAGCAGATGGTAATTGCACTCTGTCAGCAGGCAGAGAGTTTGGAGCATCTGTTTTTAGAGTGTGAGAAAACCAAACAAGTTTGGAAGAACATACTTGATTGGGCAGGGTATAGTAGGAACCCAGGTGGTTGGACAAGTGAGAAGAGGTGGCTGACACATGAAACAAAGAAGAAAGGTTGGAGAAGAATAATCCTTAAAGTTGCTACTGCAGAGACCTTACATAGCTTATGGAACAGCAGGAATAGGGTTATATTCTCTCAACAGAGACTAGAGGATAACATTGTTGATATCAAAAAGTATAATATTGTGATGAGGTGTGCTATGCATAGAAAACTTAAGAACCATGTTAATGTAGCTACTCTTACATAGCTTAGGATACTGGATTTTTGTGATTCCTGGATCCCTGTGGGATAGGTTGTATTATTGTTTTGGAATTTAATAAAGTTATCTTATTCCAAAAAAAAAAAATTCATGCTTGCATAGGTATTAAAAAAAATCCAATTTACATATAAATGAACTTTTTATTTCAAAAAAGAACTAACAATAAAAAAACAAAAAAACATTAAGTGTTAGGGGTCAAAAGGTAGGAAATTACCAACCTCATCAACAAAAATAACGGTTGGTGCAATTTTGTGAGCTAAAGAAAATATTGCTTTAACATATTTCTCAGCTTCACCAAACCACTGCAACAAGCAAGTATGAGTTGAATCAATAACTAAAAGCACTTGAACAACAAAAAAAAAGATTATTAATCATAATTACTACCTTGGAAGTAATGGTGGACAATGAAATATTGAGAAAATTTGCCCCAGCTTCAGTTGCTACCGCCTTTGCTAGCATTGTTTTCCCGGTGCCAGGAGGACCAAAAAGTAATATTCCCTTGCACGGCTAAATTCAAAATAATTACATACTAAAAATATATTTCACAAATACAACACAGTCTAAACAACTCAAAATTGCATGGCTAAATTCGCAAATATATTACTACCTTAGCAAGTTGCCCTTTGCTGAACAACTCCGGCCTCTGAAGAGGAAGCATGATCAATTCCCTTAGTGTATCTTTCACACTTTGTAACGCTCCAATATCGTTAAAAGTGATTCCAATATCACTCGGAGAAATAACATCCGCCATCAACTTCTCCTCAAACTCACCGTCAAGAAAAACATCCTAAAGAAATACATAATACATAAAAGAGTTAAAGCATTAATATATCAAT